AAATTTGTTTGTTTTTTTACATTTAATGAGCGCTGACTGTATACTATTTCATAAAACTTCCTTGCTCTTTTGTATTTCTTTTTTCTTTTTTCTTTTTTAATTATCTGCTATGTTTCTTGTGTATACTATAAAAAACATTTTTTATTTTTTTTAAAAAAATTCTGCCAAAGAGTGGTGAGAGCATGATTTAATCCAAGATGTTTAAGGGGAGCAAAGGTACCTGAAATAACACTTCTGAACATCTGCTATATATTTAGTGCCTTGGCATAATTTTTATTCCTAACAATGGAAAGTGATAACAAGGTATATCAGTCTAACAACTGAGAAACCTAATTGCCTTGTATAAGTACATGTGGTTATTTACCACTGAAGAGAAGTTTCACTCAAATGAGTTTTTTGGCTCTTCTCAGGAATATCATCCTTTACAAAAGGGTTATGATCATTCCAAATGGTCAATTAATCTCCAAAAGATCACACTTCCAAAAGGCTTTGGAGATTCTGGTTTTCCAAAAGGTTATGATCTCAGAGGTCATCCTTTTCCCAAAATCCCCATGTCACGCCAGACCAAATGATTTTGTGTGTCATAATGCCGTAATGGGAAATTCATGCCAAAATTGCCAAGGGCAGAAACAGACCAAATTGTAGGGTAAATGCCTGAGAACCATAGTCATTGGAACCCACTGGGACAAGAAAAGAAAAGGATCAAGAAGGAAAAGGCCTGGTCAAAAATAGTGACCTGCCTCCCACCTCTTGACAATTCAACAGTCCACCTGCATCACCATATCAGCCCTGCAACCACAACAAACCAGACAAAAAGGATCCAAACAAATTACAACCAGGGATCATGTAAAGCAATGCAACACTTTTGCCAATGTAGCCCTAAAAAGAGCAAAAAAAAAAAAAAAAGGACCTGAGGAGGGCATATAATATTCTGGGGTTTTTTTTGTTTTTTTTTTTTGCAAAGATTGTTAAAAGTATCAGATCTGAGTCAGTACTTGGTAAGTATTTGGGTGGGAGGCCAAGGGCCAGCAATCATTTAGTCTGACCATCCTCACCCCTGATCTAGATGCACCCCTAGAGTTCCATTTCATTCAATATCAATAATAAATGTTCTATTAGCTAAAGTCAATTTGGGTAATATTTAAAGTTCATTGATACACTAAGCAATGAATTAATAATTAGGTTTGAATGAAAGATTTTGTATGTTAAACATCAATTGGGGAAACTTATCTAATTGCATGCTATGAAGAAGTAATGTTAAATAATTCCAGCTGATTTTATGCTATTATGCAGCCAATTTTAATTTTAGCGAAACCTTTAAGCCCTCCAAATGTAAAACAAAAAAGCAATAAAGAAAGGTGGCTCTCAAGAACTTTACCAACTTCTGAAATGGCAATTGAAGCATTACAATACAGTGTGGAAACAGCAAATATTTAAAATCCTGTGCTTTCCTCCTTAACATGTGGGCTACTGATAAACAACTAATAATTCAGTCGAAATTAAACAGAAAGGAGATCTTGTGTCTGAGAGCACTATACAAAGTCAGCTCCATCTACAGCTAAATTTGTGAAGGAGATCTGCACTAGACCTACTAAAATGTGTATTATGGTACCTCCCACTCAAACATCTGCATGTGCTACACAATATCTAAAACTATGTGTATACAGCTGGATGCTTCTGAATGACGGTCAGATAATAAAAGTACTTTCAGAAACACATCATCTTAGTAAAGTCCATTAGAAACACATCATCTTAGTAAAGTCCATTTGCCTATACTGCAAATCCCAGGATTCCATAGGATAGAACCAAGGAATTATCAGTGGAAACACAAATCCTCCACATTTCATTGATGAAAACCAGAACATAAGTTATAATGACAAAGAACTCACAAGTGAGGAGAAACTCCATCACATTTCTTTTGCCAGTGTGTACAGGGAAGAACCAGATCATGACACTTTCTGTCTCTTCCTGCAACCAAATTAATTATTAAATATAAACTATCTTTGTATTTGAGAGTCAGCATGGTGTAGTCTTAAATTTTAGTATCCACTGGGGTCCTGAAACCAAATCCTACCAAATACAAAGGAAGCGTGGAGCCCCCAGTGGTGCAGGGTTAAACTGCTGAGCTGCTGAACTTGCTGATTGAAAGGTCTCAGGTTCGAATCCGGGGAGCAACGTGAGCTCCCACCATTAGCCCCAGCTTCTGCCAACCTGACAGTTTGAAAACATGAAAATGTCAGTAGATCAATAAGTACCGCTCCAGTGGGAAGGTAACGGTGCTCCATGCAGTCATGCCACACAACCTTAGAGGTGTCTATGGACAACTCCGGCTCTTTGGCTTAGAAATGGAGATGAGCACCAATCCCCCATAGTCGGATATGACTGGACTTAATGTCAGGGGAAAAGCTTTACCTTTACCTCACAAAGGAAGCACTGGATTATATTATGTAACAACAACTCTGGCACATGCTTTGAACCTTTGTGGATTTCCCTTTCTGGTTAAAGGAATGGCAAAAAGAATCCTGCTAGGCTGTACTCATGCTCATGGAGAAAAGGGGGCGATTTAACAAGTCACCATTGGGACTTGAACTTAGCATCTTCTCGTTACTGTAAAGGCGCTTTAGCCACCTTCACCACAGCATCCCATATGCTAGAATACATTCGGAAGTAGTGCATTTAGCAGTAAGTGCAAGTGCAACATATTGCTCAGCAGTAAGGAGTAGAGGTGGCACAAAGAAAGAAAGAAATTGCCTGTCTGGGCAATCTATCTAGAGAAGAAAAATTATCCTATCCTTGTTTAGGTTGATTTTTCTGGCATTTGGAAGAGGCCTAATTTTGCTTTGCAAGAAATTCAGAGGTGCGAATAAACTGCAATAATATTTTTTAAAAAATAACATAATAGTAGAAAAATTAAAAACACAGCTTTAAAAAGCAGTATTGAGGACTGTTAAAAGCCCTTTAGAATCAGACATTTCCCAAAAGTCACATCCTGGAAATGAAAAGGCCTTTGCTTCTGGAAATAAAAAGTTCATTTTCTGCTGGAAGAAGGCCAGGAGAGGGGCAGTCTAACCTCCTTGGAAAGGGAGATATAGAGTATAGGAGTAGAGTAACTAAAAGATGAAAAAGTCCTCTATTAAGTCTCATCAGACTTAGGTAGAAGGGTGGTAGGATAAAGAGAAGGGCAGATCTCAAAAAGTTGGACGTGGCAAAAAGGAAAAAGATGGATCAATGTAGTAGCCTTCATCCAATCCAGATCAGTGGGCTGTAGAAAATGAATAGTATCCCTGCTCAGTAGACAAACAGGTCAATGTTATGTCTACTAGACCTGTATGAATAATAGCATCCTGATCTAATGTTATCTCTTAAGCATTGTACAAATTGTTCACATGGGACTGCCAAGTGGTCTGCATTCTCAGAAGCCATGGGATAAGATTCTTTTGCCCAGTCAAAACACCTCCATTGGATAGCCATTTTTATATGTAAGGGTAGCAAAGACAATTCATTGTTTCTTTGTTTGTTTCTTTGGCTTCCCAGAGCAGGCTTTCAAACTGGCACTAGGCTGTGTCCGGGTGATCTTATCCAGTTTTCTGCCAACATTATGCTAGTTACCATTTCATAATTCCAGCTGTCTAGAGAACAAAGAGGTTAGTTTGGCCTCAGTACAGCTTGGCTTCCCTCTGTTTTCTCTCCTCTCTCTGCCCTAGTTGTTTTGGTTGAGTCCCAAGATAAGGCTTATCTTGAAGAGACCTGCATTGCCCTTGGAAGGCTAAGGGCCTCCTGCAAATGCAGGTCCACCCTAGCCGTGGTCGTATAGTGGTTAATACTCTGCCTTGGGGCTGCAGCAACCTCGGTTCGAATCCGAGTCACGGCACAAGCTGCTCACTTTGCTATTTATTTTTCCTCTATTGGGGGGTGGGGGTCACAAAAAACCTCTGGGAACAATACCGAGCTATTTCCATGGAGCCAAAACATTTCCTTCTGAAGGCACCACTTGGAGTTGAACCCACAATCTCCTGTTTACTAGACAGGTGCTTTAGCCATCTTAGCCACTGAGCTTCACAGTCTTTGCTTTGTCTGCCTACTTGTGTATTCTTCATTTACTCATAGGAACCATTCTTGACGTTACACTGTATAGCTCTAAATAACTGCTTTATCTCTTTCTTTGGATGTCTCAGGCACTTGCAAAAGTCTGGCTCTTTAGTGAGGAAATAATCTCAGTTCAGATAGGAAGAAAAAAAACACAATGGAACCAAGAGGCTAGAATGTGCAAACCTTCATCCTTCCAGATCTGTTAATTTTTCACAAAAAAATCATGAAATACAAAAAAAAATCTTATTTTACAATGAGACACACTTTCTCATTGAGAATAAAAGAAATCAAGACCATTCTTTACATCCTTATTGGCATAACTGGCTTACATGCAGATGTTCTTCTTGCCTTGTTTGCTGGTGTAGAGGTATGATTCTTGTTTAGGTTGTAAAAGGTCCCAGGTTCAAAGCCAGCCTTCGTGCCTTTTATTTCATTGGGAACTAGAAGAAGTTTAATGTGTGGTTTTATTATTCCTTATCTAAAGCAGCCTAGAAAACTCTTTTGTTTGCTGAGCTGTGATGACAGAGAATACTTCCCATAATCCCCAGACTGGCAGTGGCAAAGATACATATACTCCCTTATAGTGATGAGTGTTCAGCATTTTGCATTGTCATCCCAGCAATCTTAGGGCCCTCCCACACAGCCATATAACCCAGGATATCAAGGCAGATAATCTGCAATATCTGCTTTGAACTGCGTTATCTGAGTCCACACTGCCATATAATCCAATTCAATGTTGATTTTATACAGCTGTGTGGAAGGGGACTCCATTCAAATATTGAAGGATAGAAACATGCACACACAAAAGAAACATTATTTTCTTTTCCTGTTTTAATGTATCACGACATGCTCTCTGCGTAGCCTGTTCAGTAGCTTCCATACTGAAGGGACCAAAAATAGATGAGTTGTCAAGGCACCACTGGGAGTTGAACCCAGGATCTCCTGTTTACTAGACAGGCGCTTTAGCCAGCTTAGCCATGGTGCCTCACAGTGTATACCTTGCCTGATCACTGCCAAAAGACAGGAGCAATGTGGTGCATTAGTAGTTCATGCTGACTTCAGTCAGGGAGGCTCAACAGTGAGGACTTTGTTACATGAACCTGCTGTTATATTATATTCATATTATTGTTGATACTGCATCAAGCACCTTTAATATCACACCTCTTTTAAGTAGCACAGTTGTGCTGATTAACCAGTCTGTGGATCTGCAACCATATTTTTGTAACCCTGCCTTCCTACCCTACTGCTGTTCCTTTCTTTCATTTTTTTAAATTTTTATGCAATTGCATATTACAATTTCAACATAAAAGCAAACAGCAGTAGATATAGCTATAAAATAAAAGGAAACCAACCACTTTGGCAATAGCAAGTAGGAGGAGAAATAGTGGGGAAAAGAAGAGAATCTCACCACAATATCACATTACTGTATAATCCACATTGAACTGGATTATATGGTGGTGTGGACTCAGATAATAAAGTTCAAAGAAGCTATTGTGGATTATCTGCCTTGATATTCTGAGTTTAGGCTGTGTGGAAGGGGATAGTAGGTGATGGGAACACTGAAGGATTGAGAGCAATTTTACCTGTTATTAGCTAGATATGCTCTGGCTGACATACCCAGTGGAGACACTGCGGTAGCAGGTGCCCTCCCACCTGCCATTTCACCGGTGGGGGGTTTCTCCCTCCCAGAAGCCCTGTTGGTGGTGAGAAAGTTCCCGCCGGATGGGCCGCTGGCCAATTCGAGGTGGCCTCTGTTCATCTCCTCCCCCCCCCCCCCGGATTGGCTGGGGTGGCTGCCCTCTGTGCTTCAGGCAGCCTTCTTAAGACTGTTCAAGGCCATGCCATGCAACGTGTTGTGGCCTTTTGTCATCCCAACACCATGTGTGTGATGTAATTGAGTTTCTTGGTGAGAGGCAGTAGTCGTTTTCTAACATTGTTGTTAACGGCCATCAAGTCAATTACAATTTATGGCTACCCAAGTCACCCTTTCATCAACAACCCAGTTCAGCTCTTGCAAATTCAGGGTCATGGCTTCATTGATTGAATCTGTATTGATTAAGCTGCCAGAACTGCATGCATACTGCCAGGGTCAAAGTGGTTAGATCTTGGAGTGTGACTGAGCCTAGAACCTCTTGGGATCCTTTCACACTACAAGTTACAACATGCTATGATTCCATTTTTATTGCCATGGCAATATCCTATGGAATCTTGTGGGGGGCTCTAGTGCCTTACAGATTGAGAAATCCCAGAATGTCATAGGATGCAGCTTTGAGAATTAAAGTGGAATCATTGTGCTCTGTGTAATATGAAATGGCTCTTGGCATTTTAACCATAACCTCATCCTGCTGAAAGTCTGTCTTGTTTGATTCCAGAGGTGCCTGGGGGCAAATCCCTTTGAACATAGATATGAGGCACAACTACTGTAAGCATAGAATATTTTGTTGTCCTATTTTTTGATCTAGAGGTATGATTTCTGTTTAGGGTGTAACTGTCTGCCTATTCACATTTCATACCTGCCAGGAAAGCCAGCTGTACCTTTCAGTTTCAGTTGCCAGGGGAAGAGACACTTATTTTCCATTGCAAACCCTTGGCTATGCTTGACAAAAGAAAGGGAATGCTCCACACCCATCTCTACATAGGAAGAGAGTGGCACTATGGAAAAGAATTTTTAAAAACCACAGAAACAAGTTGGATTAGCAGCACTGCTCAGGGTCTTCTAGTTCCAAAGCAGGCATTTTGATACATACACAAAGTTATACTTTCTTAATCAACTGCTCATCCACATCCCTGCTCCCAAAGGATTTGGGGAAAATGCCAATCTTTTTCTCCATCTTCCAGGTAGTGTGCTTGTAAAAAAAACAGCCACTGAAAGATTTGCAGATCCTGACACAATTGATCATATAGTGGCGGTTGGTTAGTGCTCTGTGTCATGGTCTCAAATCTGAGTAATGACACAATCCTTTCTGTGATAAAACTATCCTCTCTAAACCTGTACTTCCAGGAATAAAATGGATTGTGTTGTGAGGATGGCACAGATTTCTCACTGGGGAATTCTTGCTTAAGATATGAGAGGTCCTGGGTTCAAAAACTCAAAAACCCTACTTTGAGTAAAATAGCAGGCTCTACCTTATATATTGATTTATGTCAGGAGAGATCTCACTATGTTCCAGAAGCCCCCTGAAAAAAACATATTGGCCACCTAAGTCATGCCCTTTCCTCCCCTCTCTGCATCAAAAGAAGCTTCCCTATTTTCTCCACATGTTGTCAAATTCCCAAACCATTTTGGACTAATTGGCACTGTGACTGGATCAACATAGGTTTGCCACAACAAATGGGCTGCAGTTTTATTTATTTATTTTCACTAGATGCAGGAATGTCTCCCTTTTTTTGGCAAGAAAAAGGCAATGTTCTCCTCTCATGTCTAAATGAAAAGCCAGGCATCACTGAGAGTGAAATCAATTGCCTTGGGATTGAAGGCAAGTGTGTTGTCAAGCTTAACTCTGGTGGCCTTGTCAACTGCTCTCTTGCCTCCTCATAGGCTCTATTCAGGTTTTAATGAGCTGATCATCTTGCCCAGTAGTTCTCAACCTATGGATCCCCAGATGTTTTGGCCTTCAACTCCCAGTAATCCTAATAGTTGGTAAACTGGCTGGGATTTCTGGGAACTCTAGGCCAAAACATCTGGAGACCCACAGGTTGAGAACCACTGATCTTGCCTGAATGGACTGAGTTCACCTTCCTGAATTCAGAGGTGATTGACATGTCAGATTGTCTATGAACACAAAGCAAATTGTGTTATTTCTTGTGTTTCTTGATATGACAGGACTTTTACTTTTATGGATGTATTTTACTATCACAGGAACAGCCAAAAATCTGTCAGTGAAACACACCTGAAGCCATACTGCCAGGGCCAAAAAAATTAGTAGCCAAGGCACCACTGGGATTTGAACCCAGGATCTCCTGTTTACGAAACAGATGCTTTAGCCAGTTTAGCCATGGTGCCCTGTGCTATATGTCTAGACAGAAAATAAGGTTAAATCTACAAGTTAGTAACAGGCACCCTTTCTGTCAATAGTATAAGCTTCTAAAGACTCCTCACTTGCCTTGCAAACAATTTTATTGTACAAAAGATGAAGGAAGCAGCCATTCCTTCCTGCTCATCTCCTAACTAACAGAAATGGACTGTCAATATGGTGGAAATAGTAGAATCCTGAGGCGGGAGTGACCATGCCTTCTTGGGATATGTCATATAGAGAAAAGGGGAAGCCAAACATAGTTAGACACTCACTCTGGACTTTCAAAAGCTGATTTTAGTAAGCTTAAGAAAATACTGGGTGAAAACCCATGGTCTAAAATTCCCAAGGGGAAGGGAGTTCATGATGCATAGAAGTTCTTTAAAGGTGAGAAACTGAAGGCACAGTCTCAAACAATTTCAATAATAAGGAACAGCTGGAGATGTCTAAGGGAATCAAGGTAGTTGTACAAAGAATTTTCAAATGAGCCCGACAGTTGAAATAAAAATGTGTAAGAAAATGAAAAGAAGGAACTTCCTAAGAGGAATACAAATGAATAACCTCCAAAGTGGAATCAAACGAAAATCAGAAAATCAAACACTCAAAGTAGGTGAAGAGTTAGGACTTAATCACATAAATCTGCTATTCCACTACAGTCACATTGTTGATAACAGAGACATACTGTGTCGAGCACACACAATATCTTACCTCTCCATCATTAGCCCAATTTGTCAATTCATAGTCCTGCGCCACTCCATAAGCCCACTTTACAGCACTACTGCTGTTTTAAGTACCATTTCTTAATTTTAGTGCAAAATTATTCCTCTACATGTGCAAAGGATCTAGGAGCCTTAGCAAATCACAAACGAAACTTGAGTCAACAGTGTAATAGAACAGTGAAAAATGCCAATCCAGTTCTGGGCTCCATGAACAGGAGTATAGTATTCCAATTTATGTAAGTAACAGTACCACTCTATTTTGCTCTAGTTACACTTCACCTGGAATACTGTGTCAAGTTCTGGACTCCACATATTAAGAATGATACTGGCAAGCTGGAACATAATTATAACTACCTCATCACATGGCTGCCAAAAGTGTCCCACATCACCCCGCTTCACCACAGAGTGTGGAGAACTGGCCACCCCGATCAATACATCACCAGGCTCCTCTGGCAGCTGATCCCAAGGAGAGAAGCATGGTGCACACCTGGATCACACAGCTTCCCCCATGAATGTCAATGGCAACACAGGAAGCCTCCCATGTTGGTGCGGTGGAAGCAGCACACCGGTTCCACCCTCCTTCACTCATGGAGCCAGCGCAACGTCATCTGATGGGAGCCAATGAACTCCATGAGTGACTGGGACTAGTTCGGCATTTGCTGCGAATTTTGGCCCCATATAATGAGGTCGTAAGATCGGCCAGCACAAGCTCTGTCCATGGTAAGATTGCTATGCTTTTTGGCTTTGATTGTGTGAGGAAATGGGTTTTCTTTTCATTAAAAATACTCTTAGGGGAAACTTTTGGCCACATGCAGCATAAAAAGGGAATCACTTATTTCAGACAGAGGCACCACTGGGAATCAAACCCAGGATCTCCTGCTTACAAGACAGATGCTTTGACCAGCTAAGCTATGGTGCTTTCCTTAGTTGCCTTTCCACTTACTTTCTTTCCACAGACTCTGGCTACATACCAAAAGGTTTATATTTGGCTCACATTACTGCAGAAGACATGTCTTGCCTCGGAAGAAAGAGTGACTGAGAGAGTGGCAGCATGAGCCCAGCCGTGATCGTATAGTGGTTAGTACTCTGCGTTGTGGCCGCAGCAACCTCGGTTCGAATCCGAGTCACGGCATGTACTCAGACCTTTCATTTTCCACCTTGGGGAGTTGAAAAGGATCCCCAGTGAGCCCTTTTGAGCCCACAAAAACATTTTCAGCCAAAGGCATTAGCTCCCAAGGCACCACTCTGTGTCA